TTTATTAATTTCATTACGTTAAGATATGAAAGATATATTTTATATAACAATTAGATAAAAATTATATATATACATATAATTACTTTATTCTTTATTTATAACTTATAAAATCTCATTTCTTTTTTAATATAACTATAAGTTTCAATTTTATCAATTCAAAAAATTATTACATTGATCTCGATTTATATACATGTTACAACTTACAACAAGGCAATTGTTTAGTTTTTGTTATATATAATTTAATTTAACTTTGATATTAATCATAAAAAAGCTTAAGTACGTAATTATTTGAATGGTTCACATTTTGCAGAAAAGAAAATAAGAAAAAATTAATCAATGTTCTAAAAATATAAAAGGGCGATCTCGAAACAAGATTGTCTTATTTTAGCAAAATTTCTGTTTTCTGTCACAACGTCGGCCGTCTCTCTCTTCCCCCGCACTTACGTCAATTCGAGTTCTGTGTTCCCTTCGGCATAATGCATAATTCGCACATTTCGAGGAAGAGAGGCAGCCCTTTGCGGCATTGCCCGTGAACTCTCACCCTTCTCCTTTATTTATCGCCCGTATGTATACCGACGTTTCCCTCTCATCCCGGGAAGAGTTAAGAATGCATGCACTTTGCGTTTGTCTGCATCCGTAGAATGCGGAGCGCTTAAAAATACGAAAGCCTTCGCTAATTGTGATCTTCCATCTCTGCGTCGCGTCTGAAAATTGAATTCGAACAATCTTGGATAGTGTAATAGAAGATATGTTTTCTTGTTAAAAAATATGTCAAAATATAGATAAAACAACATTTTATCTAAATAACGCAACGTTAAAAAATGCAATAGGCTAATTAGATCATAAATAAAGATATGTAAAAAATGAACCACATAATTGGAAAGACAATTCAATATTAATATGAATATATTTATATTTTAATGAGTGAATGAAAACGAAGCGTAATTTTTCCTTCGAGTCTAACAAGTGATAGAGAAATCCTAAGTAGCTTTCAACTTAATACTACATAAGCTCTTTTTTTATTTGTAGATTTTTTTACAAGATTGGAATTATTGTTTATTCTTTTATGTAGCTTTTTTATTAATACTTTAAGAAAGAATAATTTTTTCTTATCACAGTTGTAATCCTCTAGTGTTTAGAATGAGTATGGATTTATTTTGATAAGAAGTTTTGATAAGAAGTCAAATTAGCTTGGATATGCCATAGTGTCATTCTCGTCATAAAAAACAAATATAATACTGTTCTAAAATTAAAAATTAAATTTATATATACATTCACAAGTTTTATTTTATTATATCAATTTTTTCAATATTATATTATAAAACCGTGCACATATCCAAGCGGATTGTGTTAATTAATATTAAAATTGAAATTTTAAATTAAATCCCCAAATTAAAATATTCAAATTGAAAGAAAAATTTTTTAATTAAGATTTTAAATTAATGAAAATTTTAAATTAGAATATTAGAATTGAAACATATCGCAATCTTTAATATAAAATATAATGACACGTGTGCGTGTAAAAAGTATAATTCGAGAAACGATCGAAATAAACGAAAGATAAAAAAATGAGGAACGCACACAGCTGCGCAATTACCATATTTCGCGTTTTTCAAACTTCCTCTGGATGATGGCGAGTCTTCGGCACGGTCGAATTTAAGAGGACGATCGCGAAATATTCGGCGACAGGGGGATATCGTTGGATAGGGGACAAAGGAAAAAAAAAGAGAAAGAAAGGGGCGGAAGGATGCTGCGCGTCCCGTCTCGCAATGTATGCAGCTCGCGTTATTCCGCGCGATGTTTATGCGAAGGATAGAGCCGGTCTCTCTCCCTTCTGGAAATAACGCCGATGGGATGCGAGGGAGTGCGCTCGCTTATTGCCTTAAATTGCTAATTGGGCTCAGGACCGACGCTGCCTTTCCACGTTGTGCAGTCTCCATGTCCCTCTCTCTCTTTTCTTGAATCTCCCTTTTTCTCTCCCGACATCTACTTTCCCTTTCGACTCCCGTATATCTGCTTCCTCCTCGTCGCCCTTCTTCATCCTCTCCGACTTCGATTCTCTATTGTCGCCGGGACCCTCCGGAGACGAAGAGGGTGCTGCGTTTGGTAGTTGCGTAAGGTTCCGATGGAATTTCAACGGTGCACAATTCTGTGACAAATTCGACGTCGACTTTTCTCCGGTTTGAATTCAGGAAAAAACCGCGGCGGGATTATTAATATTGATGATTTAGAGATATTAATATGGAGGGGTAATTATGACGAATTAATCGTAATTTAACTTATTATATAAAAATTAAATTAAAATAGTAAGATATAATTTATAATATTCATAAATCTATAAGATAAAATCCATAATAACGCAGTACATGTCTTTTCGCAAGATTGTATACACCATAAGAAAGATAAACATCTCACGAAAAATTTTATTATATATATAATAAAATTCTCTCTCTCTCTGCGAACGATATAATTTGTTTTACACATTAATCTTTGATAAACATTATATTCATGAATATCTATCTCGAGTGAGCAATTTTTAATACAGCAACAATGTGTATGATTAATATAGTAGTGATGCATAATTAATGCAGCGACGATATCGGATCGAAAAGAATGCGTACTTGATGTTTCGGAAGTAGCGTACGGAAGTCTGTGCGCGCATCCTGTCTGCGATATATATATATATATAAATATATATAATGTCGACCGTCGAAGAAATTAGGGGTATCATGGGTTTCGTCGGGCGATTTTGCAGTTTCACCTGCTGGCACCCGGATGTGCTCGCGTTGCGAATTACGCGTTTTTATGCGACGCATTATCTCGCGCATTATTCTTGCTCACCTCACGCGAGCATTAATCCGATGATGAAACGTACGCGAAATTAGCATCACGATTCCTAATAACTCGCTAATAAAGCCGTGTCCACCAGCTGCGAGGAAAGCCATGAATATTTATTATTTAGACTTGTTCGTCGTAAAGCAAATCCAACGATCGCCTCTTCGCGAAAACGCGCAAGTATATATCAGCGATACGTGTGTACGAATCGATAGATCGATAGATCGAGACGATCAATTTTGTATAGCAGGTGACCCGGTCCCTTTTTTCATAGGGAGAATCTATAATTTAGTGAAATAGTAATTTCGATAGTACGCTATTACTATGATCGTTTCAAGCTGATACTACTTTGTTGATTCATAATTGATCGTAAATAAACGCTGCTTTGGAATCCCATAGGACGATTTGTATCTCGATCGATATGAAGATAAATTTTGTTCGAGGGAAATACGATTAAATTTATATTTTTTTCAAACGTTTACTTATTTTAACATTTTTTCTAAACTTTCGCAGAATTTAATTGAGAAATAAAATGCGCTCGCGTTTTAATTCGTTCTTTGATTCCGAGTTAAGAACACGCCGTATGAAAGTATCGGGGTGCATCTCGGCGCAGATAAAAAAATGATACGCGGTCTGGGTCGCGTATCGATCGTAAATAGCTCGCGGATAATTTCCGCGATCATGGGTGGTGCGTGCCGCTGCCACGTGGCAGCTGCCATCAACAGCTGTTACCGCGTCGCGTTAGGTGCATTGCTTTCTCGCGCACGCTGCTGATTTTTAATGTTCGCGTGCCCGCAAAAAAAAAAAGAAGAAGGCCCGCGAAAACGCGCCTCTTATCGGCGACGCATCGACACGCGTCGATCCTCGAGCCCCGTGATATCAATCAGTCACGCGCACGCTTGCAATTATACACGGTAACAGAATCGCGTTCTCGATGTAACGTAAGTTTTCCTTCTCATTACGCATTTTGGGGATATCGACGCGAAATCAAAGTACCGGAAAACAATAAAAATTATAATATTAGAAAACATATTGAAATAAAATGCAAAGATAGTTAACAAACTTTTTACTGGAATATTTTTAGTTTAAATATTCAAAGAGAGGGAGATATTTTATTCAAGAGATATAAATTTGATTTCAATGTTGCAAGAAATGTAATTGATTAAATTCGAATAGTAATCGCTATAAATGTGTAAAAAGTTACGAGAGATGTTTTGTACGAGCCGATAATAAACTATTGCCGTAAGTTTGCTTGCGAATGGAAACGAATGTTTGCGGAGAAACGTTTTTTGTGAAAAAAAAAAAAAAAAGAATGTTTGGAACAAATACGGCGGCATCTTTTCGGCGGCAATTTAAACTCTCTCTCGAGGTTTCTCGAAAATCCCTCGCCGTCATTCAGGAATGTCGAGATTGTTCGAGTGCTTTTACGAGAGTAAAATGTGAGCATATAATGACAGCTTCTTCGTCTTTAACCGAAGACAAATATCGCGAGTCGAGTCTGGTTTTCGGTCGTCGAAATGATTGAGAACGAAGTATTAACCCGTCGTATTTGCTAAGGTCGCAAGTTTTAAAGCTTTTAATTACATCTGATTTTTGTATAATATATAATAAATATTCGAGAGAGAGAGAGAGAGAGAGAGAGAGAGAGAATCTTATCAAACTTGACGCGAGAGAGGGAATAATTTTAATTTTGGTATATATTCAAAAAGAGAAGAGAAAAGTTCTATATTAAAAAGCATACGTGATATTATCAACCTAAAATGCTAATTGAGATTAATCGCAAATTTAATTAGCTTTCAATAAAGGAAAAATAAAACGCACCACACACAACGTCGAAAATCGATTAAGTCCAGCGTGCGCGGTTATAAGAGGACCGTGATGTATTATTTTCACTAAAAACACATGTTTCTTTTAATTACGTAATATTGCCCGTGTGATATCACAAACAAAAATTTGCAACGAATAGAAAACTTTCTGCTATAGATAAAAAATAATCGTCAGTATGATATAATATATATTTAATATTTATATAATCGGCTCGGGTGTTTTCGTGCGCGGGCGACCGAGACGAGGCGCTCCAGTCGACCGGTCGTTCGGATGGCCGCAGTACGCGGTGAGACGCGAGCCAGTGTGCAGTTTTTTTCAGCGAGATACCGAGTATCGCGCGACAACGAGTGAACGCGCGCGCGCTCGATTACGTTTCGACTTCGCGACTCTCGCGACGCGTACGTCATCGTGGACCGCCTCTTCAAGACAGGAGAGAGCCGAACGCGATCGAGAGGATCGGCGCCGCTGGATCAGGTGGTAGGTTTTTGGCGGAAATGTGTGTGTGTGCTATTCGCGCAGACACACGTGGTAATACATAATCGTGATAAGAATATGCGCGCCGCGAGAGCCGGAATATGGAGCGAGGCGTGGAAAAGAGAGGAGGGAAAATTAGTCTCTCTTTCCTTCTTTCTCTCTCTCTCTCTCTCCCTCCTTCTTCTCCGAACGACGCGTTTTTCCACATCGACGAGCGACGTGGCGCCGACGCAATTTCCGCGTTTTCACGCGATTGACGATCGCGCGCGCGTGTTTTGTAGTTTTCCGCGGAGTACAATTCGCGGAAGAGAGGCTCTCGTGAGATCCGCGGAAGACCTTTGCACGCGGACTAACTTGATGCCTAAGTGTCGCGTATGATGAAATTTCTTGGTGAAAATTGTACAATGCGTTACGAGTGAGGTAAAGGCGCGAAATTTTTGTTACGAATGTGGCGATTTGTATATTAATTAAACGCGGCTTATTGAGTAATTTGAATTGAATGTCTCTCCTTTCGATTTCCCGCGTGTAAAAATATCTCAATATTGCGATACATCGAATACGAATTTCTGATTCTGTAAAAATTGTGAACGTTAATCTATAAAGACTTTTGAATTACAGACATTGTATGCAAACTAATTGTAATCAGAGCGCTGATTTTACTTTTTATGTAAAAATTCAACAGTTTAAAGTCATTATCATTCTGCATCAGTCTTAATCAATCGATTAATATTAAAATAGCCAATGTTAATTTCGTATCGCAATATCTCTTATCGTTCTAAAAATGCACGAATTAGAGAAAGGTAATTAATTAATCAAGATTTTAATTTCTAACGCGTTAATTGATCAATAAATTAATCAAACGATCTGTCATATACATGCACAATATACTTGGAAAATTACACGCGTGCAGGCTTGTTTCAATCCCCGAAGTGTATCGAGTAGTCGATACGTTACGAGATTCTTCCAACGAGTTCTCTCGCGTGACTCCGATCGAGACTTAGGTTCAATTTCGTGCCAAGAGGGAGAGAGAAAGAGAAGACAAAGAGAGAAAGAGAGAGAACGGTTTCTCTGACTCACTGTGTCTCGTCGACGCACTCGCAGTTTGCCAACGTCATTAACACGCGGCGTCATTAACCCGCGCCATGAGCGCCGCCCAAAGAATCAAAAATAATTTGAAAAAAGAAGTCGAGAAAAAAAAACGCGTCTTTTCTCTCTTGTAAAACTTACCCGATCTTCTGGGTTTATGCCTCGTACCTTGCATGTTTATCGCGCATTCGTTATCTGAGATTTTTGGAGCAAAAATGCAAGAGTCCACTCTCTTGTAAGATAATAATTATGCATTTTAAATAAATCAAATCTGAAATATATTATGTGGACGATATATATTACTAGAGAATTAATACTTTGCCTTGAGATTTGATTTGTTGATCTCGACAAATTTGTCGAAACTTCTTTTAATTTTTACAAAAAATATGATTTTACAAAGTAACTCTATCTGTCCCTCATATTTGTTTATATTGTTCTCTATCTTATATGTTTCTGTTACAATCTTTTGCGCCACTTTAATTTGTAATTCTTTAAACATGAATGCAAATTTAATATATATATATGTATGTATAAAATAATATCTATAATTCTTTCAGTGTGATAGAAAGTCTTAAAATTTTTAAACGATACGTAGTAGAAACTAACTCTCTTTGTCAGTTAATTTGACAGAGGACAAAGGCATAAATTTGGCTTTTTTCGCGCGAATTCTTTTCATCTCATTCTGACATTACGTGCTATTTTTTATTCTCGCGGATTTATCCCGACTAGTTTCGTATTAAAATTTCGCGAGCTTTTCTCGGATACTCGGGAACGCGGTGCGAAACACGTGGTGCGCAGCTTTTTGTTTGTGAATTGACTCACGAAGTACATGAGTGGGTGAAAGAGAAGAGAAAGGGAGAGAAAGAAACAAAATTCGCAAGGATAGAATCATTTTTCGATGTCCACATCGCTAACGAGCACGGAGACGAAGTAGAAGGTCGACCATCCGTTAGAAGCCGACGACGGCGAATCTCTCGTTAGTGTCTCGATGCGTCTTCCTGTGTTGTGGACGAAACCGTAAGTTCTCACGATTATAAAGCTTTAAAAATTTTAATAATTTCCTAAATGAATATCAAAAAAAATCGCGAGATCTGTGGTCTCGCTTATCCTAATCGTTTCATATATTTATCGTATTTAAAAAAATACATTACGAAATATATAGTTGTAGAAATAGAGGGTATCGTTGAGGGTAAAAATTTGATATCCCTCTTCTCTACCAAATCCATTAGTTTTTATCCAGCAAAAGTTCGACGAGCATTAAACTTGCTAATTGAATCTTGAATCATTGATAGGGAAATTCGTCGAACTTCACTCTCGGTGAATCGCATCAAAGTGCGTATGCGTAAACAAACGCAAGATTTTACAAATAATATATTTATGCTGAGCATCATTCTTACACATGCACCGACGTTTATCCTCTTACATATTAATTCGAGCAATCCTACAAACTCTTTACACTTTCCCGCGGTCCCGCTCTCTTAATCGGACCTGACCGGAAACCGCGTAGACTGCGTAGCCGCGCCCGATAATATTATGCAAAGAGTTATGCAAAAAATATTTATATTAATTTTTTTATTTAATAGAACAAGTATATATAATTGGCTGTAGCTTAATGCAATGACGTTTTATATAATGCAAATATTAATACAAAATCGTGCAGTAAAAGAATAGGAAGAGCTTTGCGCGAGAATATTTTAAAATTGCGATGTTTACATGTCATTATTCGAGAAATATGATTTAACGAGAACCGCGTGAGTTATTCATAATAATGAAAATAACGCTGATGAGTAAACCGTGTGCTTTTTATATTTGACAGATTGAGAAATAAATAAAGCATATACGCGGATTGCAATCCGGGCTTATTACGCATAACATGTATAATGACACGTATAACGATCCCTTGAACTCGATGACACATCGACCGGCCATGTCACTAACTTTTCCGTTGACGAATGATCTCGTTAAGACACTTGTTGCTTTTATCGAGATGTCGACCCAACGGATTTAGCATAAACGAATGACATTGCCGTCGAAAGAAAGATAATTTTATAAATATTTAAGGAAGATTATATTTATAATTATATTTTACTATATTTAAGAAAGATCACAAACATGTATAAATATTTTAGAAATTATTTATGCATGGCTTTGCATTCTTTATTTCATTTTTTATTTTAATCTTTATACGGTAAATTCGCACACATATAATTCACCGAAAAAAATTCTTCCTTATTTTTCTTATCTATATTTTGGGCTGGATAAACTTTATTAGCAAATCTTTTCCTCGTGAATTGGAGTAGAGTGAATTGGAGAGAAAATAATCTATTATGACACAATACAACGAGAACATATTGGTGATATATTTGATAATACATAGATACTTGTAACAAGACGATATAAAATTGAAAGGCTAATGCGAGTGTTTTTTATAGTATTATATTTTTGCGTTTAATGCATTAACATATTCCGCGCTCTATTCATGACAAATCACAAATTACAGAGTGAGTGTACAAGGACGCCTTTACGGTGTTTGCGCGATACCTCTTAATCAATGTGATTACGATCATTGTGGATAATTAACATAAGGAAAAGTCATTCGAAAGATCTTGCACAAGTCATTGACGGCGTCGATTCTGTTATCTTTATCGCGTCGGATGATTCAGCGTAACTCAGATTGTGAGAAACGGTATAATCATCACGCCATTCGATATACATATATCTAACCAACCGATGCAGATTATGTTTGCGACCGCGTTATAATGTGCACTATTGTGGTCGCACACACAATTAAACAGTTCGAAATCAACGTTTTGTGCCAAAACTGGTAAGAATAAATAATTTCGTACTAGTCATTGATCCACGTGTCGTCGCTCACCGATTGGCGACGCCGATGCATTGGATGCCGCTATCTTCCTTCGCGAAGCGCCCGAGATATCGGCGTTTGTTCGGCGTATCCGGGATTTAGGTCGTCCACGCGCAACCGCAACTCGTAATCGCTGTAACTCGCGCGCGTAAATAAACCATCATCCATTCACACGCTCGACTTCGACCTGCCATTCTGTTTGCGAACGCTTAAAGAAAATTAGATTGCATCGATAGGAAAACGAGTCCTTTCTACGATATTTATACATTCATTTAATGGAGCGTACTAGTCATTGATCCAAAAAACGTGGGTGTATCAAGTTTAATGCAAATCCGTTGAAAATTGGCAGAGTTATTCATGCCCATATATGAGTCATTACCAGTGAACTGGTTAAAAGACTTTTTTGCGAACTAAATATCTCTTACAATTAATTTCTAACCATCTTAATATCTTTTTTTTTAACAATAAATGAATTGAAACATATCTGAAAGATATATCTTGTCTATATAAGATTTACCGATAATTCATCAAAAAAATTCCAAGCTCGATCGCGAATGTACAATGTGAATTTTAAGAAAGCCTATGAAAAATCGGCGCAGTTTGTTGATAAAATTTTACATATATATTTTTTATTTATTTTATATATTTTTTCGATTTTACAAAGTGAAACATTATATAAACTCAAAAAGTGTAGGAGCTGTGTATTTTTCTAGAGCCATATTCGGAGAGTTGAGGGTTAAAAAACATTTCAAATATTTAGAAACGAAACAAAATTTTATTGTATTATTTACTAACGTTTTGTTAGCTTATCGAAAGTCTGTATAATTTGCTTACGATGAGTTTCGCGTCGCCAACTCGAAAGTCGTTAACTTACCTTGCTTCTACTTCGCTTCACGAAGCGTACAGTGAACGTTATCCTTCTGATAAGACTGTAGTGAATCTTTCGTAATGATTACGTCATCGTTGTGACGACGTGGTCCGCATAACTTCGTGAACAAATCGATGACAAGGATACATACATCTTCTCGGCATTGATTCATCGTGTCTTTTTCTTTTTCTTTATCACTTGGCTTCCACGAATCACCGGAAATCGTCATCACATTGCCGCTAATGTTATTCAGAATACTGTATTCAGAAATGCGCATACGGTGCATCTTTCCAAGTAGTTAGATAATCTCATGTTATTCGTCGAAATTAATAGGAAAAAAAAGTATATTAATAAATAATATAATAAATAAAATATATAACACTCTAGTTAGTTTTTATTTTAATCTCTTATATTAATTTTTTATTTATTACGTAAAAACGGATAGTTGAAATTTATGTTACGTTATATATTAATAAAAATGAAAAGTGCCGGCGATTTCAATTAGTAATCAAGATCGCTTCGATAATAATAATCTCGTAATAGAATAAATTACAAATTTTTGCGACAAGAAAGAAAAACGAATTTAAATCATGCTTTGCTTTCAATATCGTTTTGACGATAATATTACCTTAACTTGCTTTTTCGCTCATGTTTTCTATATAAACAGAAAGACAGAGAATTTTCACGAAGAGTGTGTATTCCGTATCGTGAAAAAAAATTCACTGACGTTATTCCGAGGATTTAATATCGCTTGCGTTTAACCATGTAAATTAGCACGCGTGTACGCCCTTAGAACAGCCCTCGTTATCGCGAATATAAATGCAATATCGTAAACATCCGAGGTGAGGGAGGGTGGGAGATACACACCACCGTGGTGGTATGCGCGCATGTTTTTGATACGCGCCTAATCGCCGTGACATAATCGGTGTACCGCCAGCGTGGCACGACATGATCTTGTAATATAATCGATGCTTTTCTCGGGAAGAGCCGCCGCGGCTCGTTTGAAAGCCCGCGTTAACACGATCTCTACCCGGGTGATCCTCCGGAGGATAATTTTTCCAGCACGAAGAGAAAGATCTGTGGACGTGATGTATTATACACTGACGCGCCGACATTCTGTGAAATCTCGCGTTGTTGATTGATCATTTTTTTTTATCAAATGTATTGCGCCCTTTCCTTCCATTCGTCAAGGCAAAAATGTTTCAACGAGCTATTTTTGCAAATGGACATTTTGAAAATTCGATTCGAATAAAACTATTAGAAGGTACGGTATTGCTTTCCACGCTATTATGTATTTTACAATTTTTATTTTGAAAATAAATAAAAAACGAGAAAAGACTCACCCATCTTTCGATACGAAATATATAATATATATAACGATTGTCTCTGTTAATTAATTTAAAGAAAATCACGTGCACGCTTCATATAAATTACTAAAATCATCGCTTTAAACATATTGATGTACGAAACATAAACGTTCGCGTATTAGTGAACGAAGGAAGAGTCTGGGGAAGAATCGGACGACGGGTGTCCCAAAGTTTGAATGTAAAAACTAGGTCGCACACAGGCAGAACCGAACGAGACTACCGGGTTCAATTCAATTCGACTCGCGGAACTCGCGACAGCTCGATATTATTGAGCTCAAATAAGCGCGTGCTTTTGTTCTCGCACGGCACGCCGCTCTCTCTGGAGGCCGGGTTAAAAATAAAGGCGAGACCGTTTAGCGGTCTTCTACATCGGGGCTGGTCGTGGCATACATAATACGATTGCGAACTGGGATTCCAGTGATTTTTTTTTTCTACCGGAATAAGCGTAACGAGCATTTTGATTTCGAGCATTTTGGTTATTTTTTAACCACCAAAAACCTTAAATTTATGAAATTAAAGTTTATTGTATAGAGAAAATTCGTTATTTGCCGCACAAAAATAAGTTCGTAGCTTTTTAACGCATGTTTTGCAGAACATGACATATTTCAAATTTAACGCGGTGTGCACAATAATTGTTCGAGAAAAATTAATTCATTTATAGAACAGGTTAACTACATACAATATATTTAATTAAAAGTGCGCATAATATATTTAATTTTTTGTCATTTTACACAACAAAATATTATAGTTTTAAAGCAGTGCTGGCGACATTTATTTTAATTATAACTTTTAATTACCGATCTCCCGTCACTCTTTCTCTCTGTCTTTTGGAAATCTATAATCTTTTATCTACTGGTATAAGTATCGTTTGCGACGACTATATAAGTCGATGTAATGTGATTAGCGAAGCTAATCACAT